TATTAATAATCATCACTGTTAATTAATAATCATCATTACTAATTAATAAATTAATAATTATTAATTGTTATCAGTTATTACTAATTATTATTAATTATCATTGTTATCATTATTATTGTTGTTATCATTATTATTATTAGTATTATTACCATTATTATTAATTACTATTACTATTATTAATTATTACTATTATTATAATAATGTGCACTTTTTGTATTTTTATTGCATGAAAATGGTTCATGAAGCAATCTCCTAACAGATGATGGTGGTTTACTTGAAATTACTTCACAAAATACTAACGTACCGTTCTCAAGCTCCACAGCTCTTGTCCAACAATCCTTATCAACGATTTTTTCACCTTTTAGTGCTGTTAACAATCTAGAACAGAAAAAAAAAAAAATGATCACAGCTGCAAAATATCTGTCTTCAAAACACTGATGACTTGTTCTTTCCTAATTTAAAAATGTTTTAATTAACAGTGTAAATATTCCAGTTGGTTCCAACAAGCAAATATTAAGCTGAAAAATTCACTAACACACCATAAGCTTAGAAATTATGAACATGAAAAAACAATAACTTGGAAATAATTAGCTGCCGGTGTAATCTGGCCGAATTATCAGCATTCCTACATATGCGTTGCATGTTCAAGAAACTTTCGACTGCCAACTGAAATTTCAATGCGTTGCAGGATATTTCTTATTTTATTCGAACTTTCCGAGGCTATTTCACAAAAACTTTTCTAATATTTCAAAAGAAAAAAACTTATAATGTATTTAAAGCTAAAAGCACTTACTTCTTCCACAGTTTTACAAATGTTGATGTCGGAAAAACCTTTGGAACAAGACAAAAGTGCATGCCGACAAAGATTAAGTTCACTTTCATGCTTAACAGCATATTGCTGAACGAAGTTTACATCTTTTCGGCACGATTTAGGTGCGGTCATCGCAAAATTTTCCTAAGGACAAATGAATATGCAGTTAAGGTTTAAAAAAAGAGACGAAAAGTATTCAGAATTGAAGTGAACTGGGAAAAATCTTGTTCCGTTGGGAATCTGACAATATGAATTTCGGTTGTCTTTTAATGATTGATCATATATCACGGCAACTTTGTTTCCCTATTGGTTTGCAGTAAATCGCTCCTAATATGATTTATATCCAGATTCAATAAATTCAATGAAATGAAAGAAATACCTGCCCAAAGAAACACTTTTCGCCGCTCAAAACAAGTACGTTAATGCTGGATTCTATTTCCACCGTTTGATAAGGATAAATGTACGGTATCTTTCGAGTAGACAAGAAATTTTTAATTAAATTGTAATTTCCGCGTCCTACAAAGAAATATTTAGAAGAGTAGTACATATACACTGTGTATTCGTTCTGTCGGAAAAGAGCTACTGAGGATTTAAAAGCCAAGAATCCTGAAGACGAATTTTGGGAAAAATTTACATATTCATTGAAAAAGCAATGATAGAGAGAAAACTAATCAGTTGATATTTGATATAAATAGTGCTATCTAAAAAAAATATTAGTAATGCACATCGCTTCGCAACAAATATTGCTTTTCATTTCCATTTGCATTAATTTGGTACAACAGTGTTTAACTTCTCTTCGAAAGAACTCATGAAAGAACGAAAGAAAAAAATTATATCATTGTATCACTGAACTTACTTCACCATTCAATTGGATAAAAAGAAATGTTAATTGCACCTTCGCTCAATTTTTCATGTAAAAGAAAAATGAGGAAAAAAAATGTGATTTGTACAATCTAAAGTGTAGTAATAAGCGAAATGTGATTGAATAAATATAAAGTCCAAGCAGTTTGATAAGAAAGTACCTTTCTTAGTGAGTGATAAGCTTTTCATTGATGACACTTTCGTTTCATCGATAATAATTAAAGTATTGTCGGATACTTGTAGTAAACCTTGTTCGAAACCGCTTTGAGGCCTCTCATATGACGCCCACGACTCTTCCATTGTTTTCTCCATGATCTCGACGACGTGAACCTGCAATTCACTCGTCGATGTTTCAAAAAAATTTTTCTCAATTGATTTTGAATCCATGGAACTGAAGATGGTATTTGGTAATTGCTACGAACAGAAAACAGAAATATCACCATAGATTTTTTTTACCCCTGTGAAACAGAGGTTCTTAAGCCTATCAACACTTCAGTCATTGTTTCCAGTCAGATCCAAACGTTTCTTTACATATCACTATTTTATGGTGTCCCTTACAGCGTAATGAAATAACATTTCCAGAGTGCATGTTAATGGCTGGAATACAGCTGAGACAAATATATGCATTTGCTGCTTCTAGAAATGCTCTTACAAGGTAATCAGAAAAAGTTGAATATACTTTTGGCACGAAAAGTTTGATCATTTCAATTATCAGTTTACTGTCACTTATCCTTTTCATCGTATAAGGAAAGGTATATTCCACCGATCTCGGCGGTTGAGAATGCCTGAAATCAAGTCCGAATAATATGAGTCCTATCTTAAAGCAATAACTATTTCTTCAGCAAGTCAAAAGGAACTAAAGAAAACAACTTACCGCGAAATAAACAACTGAAACGCCAAAGATTGTGCAGCAACTTTACTTTCGAAGAGTTGTTCGAATGCATAAATCACTGATTCAAACCCTTGTATGTTTCTACGCTCTAGTACCTAAAATATTTTTTTACGAGGGTATTGTAATAATACTGGTGTATCTGTACGCATTTCTGTAAAAACTTAATAAACTGATATACGAGAACAAAAGATCACATTGAAGTTGAAAAATAAGTAAATGCTTAAAGCGAAGCAGAAAATAATATAAATAATCTTCTTTAGATTTTCTCCTATAAAGACACAGCTGCAAAATTGGATGAAAAGAAACATTTGTATTCGATTTCCTTCAGTTTATGCTACAGGAAAGAAAATACAGTTTAAAAAGCACCTCTCGATGAGTTGATGCAACAATATCGTGATGTTCTACTAGTTCGTAATGAATAACATGCAGTGATCTCATGGTCAATGAATTTCTTGTATCTGAATTATCATCATCATTATCTCTGAAAAAAGGTTTTAGAACTTCTATTACTACAATAAAAAATGAAAAGAAAGAAAAAAGCATCAAGAAAAAAAAATACCAATAGTTTTGGAGATAATTCAACCATCCATGGGTAAAATTTGTAGTAACAAATAAATAATCGCATATAAAGTGGTAACATCACATTTCGTTAATTTCTTTCAATATTGTCAGAAAGCTACACGATATAACCCCTGCACACATCTGTCATTCATATCCTTTCAAATTATCGAAAATAGTCCAAATTTGAACCACTAGAAACGAAATGACTTACTCAATTCTCATTTCAGCTAAGTCGAGAATGCCATATAAATCAAACACGACATTTGGTTTAAAATTTTCACTTTCCTCGTCATAAAACTGAAAAGATGATTTTTGCAGGAATACTCGCAGTATCTTATCACATATTTTCCATTAATACGCAAATCACATACTTGGCATTCGAGAAACCTTGGCAATAATCAATAAAATTTTTATTCATTAAATATCTTGAGTTTTAAGACTTGTGAAATAATTTACCAGAGCATAAGTCCTAGATTCTTCATTTTTGGAAAATACCTCAGTGAATCTCCGACGGTCTTTACCTAAAAATTTTCTCTCATTACAATCAAATATGTATATATATTATAGTCTTATTATATGCAATCTTTTGCGACTATTTTTTACTTATCCTGTGGAAGTTTAACGCCAGAGATGTTCAAGGAAAGTTATGACATGAGAAAGCCAAGACAGTCAGGTCAGTGAGACGAACTGAGAAATACATCTTAATGATGAGTGAATGTACTGTGCAAATCCTTTAAGAAGGATTAGACTATTCTGTTGTCTTAAATGTGACTAAATATTAACCATGAAAAGCTTCTAAGTACCAATCCGTTGCTCCTCTCTCGGGCACCAAAATGTAAGCGTTCCGACGAGTCATACCTTTTGCTTCCTTGATATTCTAAAAATGGAAGTAATCCATTTTCAAAAAGAGAAAATCAATAAACAAAACCAAAAAATTAATCCATATTTCCATAAATGAAATTCAAAAAGTTTAAATCAACACTATGCAAAAAAAAATTAAAATTGCAACTACAGGAAAATTAAAGAAAAAAATCAATCTAACTGAACAATTGATACGATTCCTCAAAATTCCGCAAACTGTTCGAGTGTCGCCATTCTCTTCTTCCGTAACTACAGCATTCAATGAGAATACTGTTTGCATTCCATTAAGAATCATTCCACGCATCCGAACCAAATCACCATGCTCCACGTGATCCGTATGGAGACATTTCCAATTCTAAAGAAAATTTTGAAACAAAATTAGAGAAATTGCAGTTTTGTTTTTCTTATCACAATCTTCCCCCCTGCTAGTATCAATTAAATGCAATTTCAGTCATCGACTGGTCCAGTGTTCATATAGATTAAACATTCAACGATTTATGTTTAACGCTCAATATTATTGTACATTTTCTATTACTAAATCAATTTACAATTCCATAAATACGAATAAGAATTATTAATCAGTGAAAACTAATAAAGACATTTCCGTCCATACTACTTTGCAACATTTACCTTAAATTCATCCTTGTATTTTTCTTTCAATTTTGTAATTAGCTTGCATGGATCCTTCGTGTATTTTGCAACATTTTCTGCAACAAATATTTTGAATTTGTCCGAATCAAAATTTTAACATAAGTTTTTATTAACCTTTTAGAAAATCAAATATGTGAATATGAACAAATCCTATAATTCAAATTCAAATTTGTTCGATCTTTTTCAACATAAAATTAACCACAGAGAAGGAGTACGTTCTGAAAAATATCTCACACATTATGTAATAACCCTCAAAATTCAAAACACTACTGCTAACAATTAAACAGCTCAGAAAAATAGTTTGTAGTGAACCAAGGGATCGAAAGAAAAAAGAAGGAAAAGGGAGTAAAATAATTGCTTAACCAAACCAATGGAATTAACCGAAAAAGATGTTATCCACTTCGTTGTATACATCTTTCTCGTTACTTTCTCGTAATTTTCTTAGAGAATCACTTTGGATAGTGATGAAATTTTCACCCTGTATTTTCACATTTGTGATATTCTGCGAATCAGTAGCATTTTCGGTATCCTCATCTTCTCCCATTTTCTGAAAAAAGGAGCTGAAAAATCAACGAACTTCAATATTAACACAAAACGATAGTGAAAATTCCATTACATTTTAGTAACACAACAATTTCATGAGATTAATTCCTCCCTAACTGACTCAATTCAATCCGTGAAATTAATCCGTGAGATTAATCCAATTTGCCAATTGAGAAGAAATTGGCGAAAAATAAACATGCAACATTTGCAGCTGGACTGAACTGCAGCGATGCTATCATTTTATCACTATATACACCTGTGATAACTGCCTTTCTCATCAATCATATCATATGCAACTAAACATTAATTTAATTAAGAAAGTACAAAAATTTCAAGATTTCATCAATGATAATGATAACAAAATAATTTGATTCTAAGTCACCGTTCCACGGAACACTACCGCCAGGGTTGATGAATAAAAAGGTTAAGATAGAATTTCAATACAATTCAAACCTCATTTTCATTCATTTTGTCATCCGCGCAAAGGGTCTCTCTGAAAAACGCTATCCCCAACCGAGAAAAGAGTCTGTTCGATTAACCTCTCACTAATCTGTCGTTGCCCACTGCCCTTTTCCTGCCTTTGTTTTCTTGCTTTTTTTTGCAGTTTAAAAGTGAGAAAATATCTTTTTGCAATTCACATAAACCGACAGTGTTGAAAGTTTCCCAAAATACAACTTCCCGGAATTCCGAACGATAACTATTATTCATTATGCAATGTAATAATGGATGATGAATTCAGTTTGTGCGATATATCTGCGCAATTGGTAAAACAAAAATATGCTGATAGCAATTGGGATGGCTCACGTTTCATCCTTCATTTTTGACATTTCTTGATTCCTTTAGGAAGATACGTTAAAATCACGTTTTCTTGTATGCTTGATTGTTGTTGATTGATTATTTGTTCAAATTATATATCTGCAGTATATCTATTGGTTGAATCTCAATCAGATGCTTAATTCCCGCTATCAAACTTCTGCTGTATTTTCGAATTATAGCGATTTCTCCAGTGTCTCGTTTGGTTCTACTTTCCCCTTGAAGGTTAACTGGAACGGTCGATCTAAATAACATCTAGCTACTATTATGTATTGGATTAAGTAATAAATAATTCGCTTACTTTTTTTTCAGTGGCATAATTTTCCATACTAAATTTGTTGCTTGACTTAGCCAATCATCAAAGTGTTTGATGTGTAATAAGTAGTAACCACAACCTGTGCTAATATGCTAATCTACATGATATCCTTTTTTTTCATTTCCTAACGAATTAAGTTTTGCAATCAAACGGAGATGGTAAAAATGAAACGATTTTAAGCGACTAAGGAATTTGGATTTTAGGAAAGCTATCTGCGATAGTTTCAGGTAATGAAATTATCAATTTTGGCTTTGACAGTTACTGACAATCGGTACTGATCAATCGAATGAAGCACTGTACTTCCAAATCTGAGCTTTTTGATATGGCTAAGCATGAAAGCATCATAAAAATACCAAAAATTAAATGATATGGTTGTTTCAACCCAGCATCTTCCAATGGCAGTATCCTCTTCATGAAATGGACTATTGATATGGCATGTTCCTTCCTACAGGTAATAAAGTTAGCAATAAAAATATACAAAGTAAATATAAAAGCATGCAAAAGTAAAGTCAGTGGTAAGGCATATACGAATAAAATAAATAAAGGAGCATGCACAAGTGAAATAATAATTTTTATATTGAAAAAGCATGCAAAAGTAAGATAATAAAATAAATAAAAAATGAAATGAATACAAAAGTATGCAAAAGTAATGTTGATAATAAAATATGTGCAAGTGGATAAAAATGCATGCGAAGGGTTAATAATTCGGTAAATACATATAAAGTGAGTAAAAACGAATGCAAAAGTTAGTATGCAAGTAAGTTAGTAATAAAGTAAGGAAAACCACATGCAAAAATAATGCAACAATAAATAACTACAAATAAAGTGAGCATAAAAGCATGCAAAAGTAAAGTTAACAATAGACAATATAAAAATAAAGTAAGTGAAAATGCATGCAAAATTAAGTTAATAACAAAAATATGTACGAAGAAAGTGAGTATAAAAACATGAAAAATTGAAGTTAACAATAAAGTGTATAACAGTAAGGTAAGTTAAAATGTATGATAATTGTAAGTTAATAACGAAATATATGCAAACAAAGCGAGCATAAAAGCATGCGAAAGTTAGTTAATAATAAAATATAAACAAGTGAGGTGAACAAAACGCATGCACACTTAATAATATTGTAAACATATATAAAATAAGTAAAAGTGAGCAAAAATGCATGTAAAACCATGTCAATAATAAAGCATATGCAAATAAAGTGGGTGAAAATGCATGCAAAAGTAAGTCAGTAATAAAATATATACAAATAAAACCAATAAAGAAGCATGTGGAATGATTTAGCACTATTTATATTGAAAAAGCATGCTAAAGTAAGATAATAATAAAATATATGCAAGTAAATGAGTATAAAAGCACACAAAAGTAATGTTAACAGTAAAATGAATAAAAATGGATGCCAAGTGATGTGAATGATACCGTTTGAATAGAGTACGAATGAGTGCAAAAGTAAAGCGGATAATAGAAAGTAAGCAAATAAGGTAAGTAAAAGCGCATATAAATGTAGGCTAATAATAAAACATATGCAAACAAAGTGGATAAAGGAACATGCAAAAGTAAGTTAACATATACTGTCGCCGATTTTCTTCAGTCGTGACAAAAACTGAGGGTTCTTTCTGCCACTTTATTTGATAGTACCCCAAACTTGGGTAATTACCTTTTATTACGACAAATTTATTAATACAACAACGAACTTGTAAATATGACATTGATATAACAAATTAATAACGAATACACAAGAACAAAAAAGACAAGTCACGCCCGATACTTTATATCCAACCGACCTCAATGAAACACATTTAAAAAATGGATTATCTTCGAAAAAAAAATGGGTTTGCTTCTTCGACTGGGAAGGTCCTTGTACCGTTTTATGATTACAAGAATTAGCATCCTCATGGAGCACGCATTGGTGTTGGGTTCTTTGTTAGAGCAAATGTAAGACGATATGAACATATAAAACAAAGATGTCTGGCTCTCAAAAAAGAGGGGGATTACTGTCCCGTTGTTTCTACTCGCGATATCAGCGACATACACAGATGAAGTGATTGAAAAGAATGGGGAACAAATTGCAGGAAAATAGAAAAATTGTGATAAGAGAACGTGCAAAATGGAACATAAATGAAATGCAAAAGTAAGCAAAGTGAAACCGACAAAAAGACATGCAATAACAATGAGATATGAGACATTAAAATTAAAAGAAAAAACAGTAAAATGAAGCAAAAATTAAATGGTGCAAAAAAAAAAAACAGGCAAAATCCACAATACAGTATATAAAAATTGAGCAAGTAAAACGTATGCAAAAGTAATGTCAGTGGAAAATAAATACAAATAAAGTTAATTAAAATGCATGTAAGAGTTAGTTAATAATAAAGTATTAACAAATAAGGGATACAAAAATGCATGCAGACGTAATGTTAATAATAAAATAAGTACAGATAAAGTGAGTACAAAAGTATGTAAAAGTAATGCTTATAATAAAACATATAC